TGCGATGGAGCGTGCGACGGTGCCACACCAAAAACTCCACGGACGTCCTGAGGTCTCAGGGTTGGGTTTCTTGTGGAAGGTCTCTTGTGGTCGGGCCCCTACTGTAAGCTGTGTGTGTGTGTGTGTGTGTGTGTGTGTGTGTGTGTGTGTGTGTGTGTGTGTGTGTGTGTGTGTGTGTGTGTGCGCATCGACACCTAATCGCTCATAGATCGCCGACAGGGGGCACGGCAGCCCACCTCGCCTAGGAGCGCGGGGGTCCTTTGTCGGGGCCCTGTCGCCGATCGATCGGCGATGTATCGCCGATTCCAGCTCGATGCTCCCCCCCCCTTGATCTGGTCCCTCCTATCATTCCCCCTCACGGCTACGCTGCATTCGCAGCAGAGCCTCTCTGGCTGGAGGCTCGTCCGCTCTCGGGTTCTTGTGCGTCGTCCGCGTGTCCAGGCTCGGGTGAGTACATCTCGAAGACGCCTAAGGCGAGTCACCGCCGCCCTTCCTTTTGGAACCGCCGATGTGGCCGAAGGTTGTGGCCAACGCTTGGACAAGCTATCGGACTTTGTGTTCCCCGAGCCGTATTGGAAACCATTCGGGAACAGAAGGGGGCGGATAGGGGGAGCATCAGGAGAGGGAGGAGGAGGAGGAGGAGGAGGAGGAGGAGGAGGAGAGGGAAATAATGATAGTTACAATAACACTAATACTACGAATCATAACAATAATGAACATACGAAGCAGAATAGTAATAAAAATAAAAATAAAAATATTATTAATAATAATAATAATAATAAGACTAATAATCAGCATCAGCATCATCATCATAATCATAATAAAAATCATAATAATAAAAAATCATAATAATAATAATAATAATAAGCAAAATAATGATAAGAAAAAACATAAGAAGACGAGTCTCAATAATAATAATAATAATGATACGAAGGGGAGGAGGAGGAGGAGGAGGAGGAGGAGGAGGAGGAGGAGGAGGAGGAGTATAAGGCTTCTTGGGAACCTTGGGGCACTCTTGGAGCCTCCTGGGGGCTTCCCAGGGGCCTCTTGGGGGCCTCCTTGGGTCTCTTGGGGGCCATAGGGGGGGCATGCCTTGGTAGCCGTCTTATGGCGTTCCTGCCCCGTCTGACGCCGTCGGAAGCAGAGGTCTTGGGGGGCCTCTCTGGGCCGTCTTGGGGTCTTCTTGGGGCGCTTCAGGGCCGTCTTGGGGGCCCCTTTGGGTCATCTTGGGGCCCCCTTGGGGCCGTCTGGAGCATTTTGGGCCGTCTGTGAGGCCTCTTGTGCGCTCTCGTGGCGATGTTTGGGGCCATCTTGGGGGCCGTCTTGGGGGCCGTCGGAAGGCAGAAAAGAAGCAAATGCAGAGCCATCTTGAGGGCCTCTTGGTAACAGTGAGGGGACCATCTCGGAGGCCTCTTGGGCGCTCTTGGGGTCATCTTGGTGGCCTCGGGCTTCTTGGGCAGGCGGAAAGCCGAACATGAGCAAACGCCCAAATCTGTCAACAACCTAGGAAGAATCACTGATATTGGCCTCTTCGGGCCTTCCTGGAGGTCCTCTTGGAGGCCTCTTTGGTCGTCTTGGAAGCCTCTTGAGCTGCCTTGGGCGATCTTGAGGCCATCTTGGGGGCATCTCGGCCCGTCTTGGATACATCTTGGGGCCAGCTTGGATTCTCTTGGGGCCATCGTGGCCGTCTTGGAGACCATCTTGGCCATCTTGGATGCCTTCTGGAGTGGGCAGACCGGCGACCTGGGAAGTTTATTGGTCCTCGTGGGGAGAGCGAGAGAGAGAGAGAACCGACAGGAGACTGCCCTTACCCATCGGTCGTTGAAAGTAGGTATGTTTGGATTCCCAGGTTCAGCTCTACTTTAAGCGCCTTCCTGCTTCAATGATCGAGTGGTTTCACCTTTTCCGTCCTCTTTAGGGGGCGTGCGGGAACCCAATCTGTGTTCAATGCTTTCCTGCTTTATGTTTCTACCTACTTCTTCCGACCGATGGGTATGGGTCCTTCCTGGTGGCCAGCGGGCTGGGCCGAGACCCCACTGGGAACTCTTAAACAGAGGGCTCACGCCAACATACAGCTCGGCACGTCGTGCACACCCGTCGCAAGCCAACAATGGGGCGGCGGATCGAGGACGCCTGCGGCGAGTCGCCGCCGCCCCCTGCCTTTTCGGATACGCCTATGCGGCCAGACGTTTGAGCAAGGTTTGGCCATGCTGTTGGACCGTGTGTTCCCCCGGCCGTGGTGGAAGCCCGTCGGGCAAAGCGTGGGGGAGGAAGAGGAGGATGCGGATAGGAAGGAACAGGGAGAATCAGGAGAAGGATAAGTAGACCTCTTTGGGAGCTTCTTGGGTCATTCTTGGGGCCTCCCAGGAGCTTCCTGGGTGCCTCTTGGAGGTTTGGGCCCCTTGGGGTGGGCTTTAGGGGCTTCTTGGGGGCTTCTTTGGCCGTCTTACGGCGTTCCTGGACCGTCTGACGCCGGCAGAAGCCGTCTTGGGAGCCTCTCTGGGCCGTGTTTGGGGCCGTCTTTGAAGTCTTTTGGGCCGTCTTGGGGCCATCTTGAAAGCTTCTTAGGCGCTACCGGGGCCATCTTTGGGGCCTCTTGGGTGGTCGGAAGGCCGTTTTGAAACAAATGCCCAAATCCTTCAAACGCCTAAGGGACCGAGATTTTGGCCTCTCTGCAAGGCCTTCCTGGACTCTTGGGCCGTCTTAGGGGGCCTCTTGGACCGTCTTGGGCTCTCTTGGACCATTTTGGCTGTCTTGGAGGCATCTTGGAGGCCATCTTGAGGCTATCTTGGGGCCACACTGCTCGTTTCGGAGGCATCCTGGAGGCCATTTTGGGCCATCTTAGCCGTGTTGGAGGCGTTTCGACCAATGAGGGGTGGATGTTACTGAGCTTTCTGAGTGGCGGGCGGTCTGGGCCGAAGCCCCACGGGGAGTTCTTAAGAAAAGAGCCAACAACCTGGCAGAAATTCGGCAAGCCAACAGGAGGCGGTGGATGTATTGGCCTTCGGCCTGCCCCGCCACCGTGCCTTGGTTGTAGGTCCGAGGCCTCTCGGATGCTTGTGGGGATCTCGTGGGAGGCTTCTCGGAACCTTCTTGGAGGCGGCTTGGGGTTTTCCCGGGGGGCCTCTTGGGGCCTGGTTTAGGCATTTGGGGGGCCTCCTGGAGCTTCTGCGGGGCTCTGGGGGGCCTGCTGGCGGTCTCGGGTGTCATCCAGACGTCGGGAACAATTAAGCAACCCTCACGCATAGCATATGGTTTGACCTCCGCCCTCACAGCGAATGCAATGTTGGTTTCGGATCTTCCGAGCTTGCGTGCCAGAGCGGTAGTGCGTAAACGTGCCAAGTTTGAATTGCGGGGGAAAGGGGAGTGTTGCTAAATTTGTCCCTCAATTGTCTTGGGGCGAAGGGCTCGAACTGTCGGCTTGCATTCCCCCTCTTGGGTCCGTATCGGGACGTCTTGGTGGCGCCTGTTTGTCGCGTTCTCTCCTGCGGGCGCTTCTGAGAGGAGTCTCGGGAATCTATGTGTGATTCCTTGGGGCCTCGTCGGGCTCTAGCTCGTGCATCGGGGCACATTGGTGGATATGTATATGCATATGTACATACACGTACATGTGTATATACATGTTTATATATACACGTGTATCGCATATATACAGGTGGCACGTGCGTCCCCAGACTCATACGCACACATGTGCAGGATGGTTGTGTGTAAGAATTGTGTTTGGTTGTGTTGTGTGTGTGTTGTGTGTGTGTGTGGTGTGTGTGTGTGTGTTTTTGTGGTGTGTGCAATTTGTGAGTTATAAGCGGATCGTGCGTGTTCTACGTGTTAGGAGTACTGAGTCTTGTGTGGATTGCTTGTGTTGGGTGAGTTGTGCGTGTTGTGTGAGTGTGTTGTGTGTGTGTGCGTGCGTGCGTGCGTGCGTGCGCGCGTGTGAGTAACCATTGTGTGTTATGTGTGTTGTAGGTGTTGTCTGTGTTCTGTGTGTATGTTGTGTCGTGAGTGTCTGTGTTGTGTGGTGTGTGTGTGTGATCTGTGTGTTCTGTGTGTATTATGTTCGCGCGTATGTGTGTGTGTGTGTGTGTGCGTGTACGTGTGTTGCACATCGGGGCTCGATGTTGGGAGGGTGTCTCGGGCGAAACTATATGTTTCCAACAACTGCGTTGGAAAAGGGATCGATGTTTGGAGGATGTCTCAGGCGAAACTACAATGTTCGAAGAATTGGGGGTCAAAATCATTGAACTCCATTGTGATCTAAAGTTTTTATGTTAACATGACTGAAACAGGCTGTTTTTTTGGACTGACGTCGCGATCTGCGTGAGAGGTTTCTGTCCGTTTTTTAGAATGTACGGTATCCCGGGCGAAATGGCCAAATAATAAACGCGGCTTTAATTCATCGCCTCTGAGCTCTAGTCCCTCGGATATGTGTGTATGATTTTATGTATATGTGTATATATATAGGTATGAAAGATCGCGTTCTGTGGTCGCTTGGAGGGGAGGGGGTGGAACCGAACTCCCCCCCTCCCCTTCCCACTTCTCCTCTCTCCCTCTTCTCGGGTCAGTGCCTGCGTCGGCCGCGGCTGGCGGCGGCGGCGGCGGGGACGACGATTTCCTTTTCTGGGCTGGCGCCAGCGCCTGCGGCGGCGGGCGGCGGCCGCGGGGAGCGTTGACGAGGACGACGGTGGTGGTGGTGGTGGTGGTGGTGGAGGGTTGTGGTGGTGGTGGTGGCGGTGGTGGAGGTTGTGGGTGTTGTGGTGGTGGTGGTGTGGTGGTTGTTGTGGTGGGTGGTGGTTGTGGTGGTGGGTCGTGGTGGTGGTGGTGGTGGTGGTGGTGGTGTGGTGGTGGTGTGGTGGTTTGTAGTGGTGGTGGTGGGTTGTGGTGGTGGTGGTGGTGGTTTGGTGGTGGTGTGGTGGTGGTTTGTGGTGGTAGTGGTGGTGGGGTGTGGTGGTGGCGGTGGTTTGTAGAGGTGGTGGTGGCGGTGGTGGTGGTGGCGGTGGTGGTGG